TGACAATGAGTCTGTCATTTGGTAGAATAGGTTGGATGGCATCCAAAAGTGAATGTCTCAAAAGCTTCTCCCAGTAGAGAACTGAGTACTTCATACTTTAAGTAAGAATATAGAAAAGATTCCCCCATGAAAACTGTGTACTCAAACTTGATAATACTTAACATAATGATGATGTCTCCTTTGTGCAATTGGCCACATTGAAAAAAAATAATTTTATGAGTCTTAAAATTGACCAGAAGCTACATCATCCCATTACCTGGAATGTAGTGTGACAATCAAATGTTGCCAAAGGAAGGCACACATGTTAGAGCTGCTGGGACCTCCAGGAGTCTGAGTACAATTTTTTCATGTTACTAAGCCCTTAGATCTTCATGAGTAAACATCTGTGAAGTGCTCTGCACAGATCTTGGCACCAGGAAATTCTCTATCAGTCAGTGTCAATGACAGGACTCCTGACAGGATTGAGAGGACAACTTCACCTCTTAAGGTGCCATTCAGTGCTGTGTCACTCTGGCCCTGTTTTTCATTACTTCTGTCACCATCTGATATAATCTAATGTATTGTTGATGTGTTTATTGTCTGCCTCAAGGCCCCTACAAGAACATAGCTCCTTGAGAGCAAGAACCAAGTCTCCTTATTCACCACTGTTTTCCTTGCTTCCAGAGTGTGGCACATCACAAAAGTTCAGCAGATACATTTGTTGTTAAATGAAAGAATAAATTTAGAGGCCCCACAGAGAAGAGAGGAAAATAAATGGACATTTACGGAGCACCTACATTTTGTATATGGTTTACATATATATTCTTTTAGGTAATGCTTACATCGACCTCATGGTAGGAAGAGCACTTTAATTCCCATTTAATAGCAAAGAAAGTGGGACTCAAGAAGTTTTGAAAACTCAGACTTGTCTGGCTTCAAAGTTCATGCTCTTTTCACTACTACAGTGCCTCCTGATTAGATCATCTCTACAAATTTTCATGAAAAATATCTTCACTCTAAATCTTAATCTCCATATGATATATTTTTCATGATTTAAAAAAAATCTAGCCGGGCACAGTGGTGCACACTTATAATCCCATCGGCTTGGGAGGCTGAGGCAAGAGGATCGCAAGTTCAAAGCCAGCCTCAGTAAAAGCGAGGTACTAAGCAACTCAGTGAGACCCTGTCTCTACGTAAAATAAAAAATAGGGCTGGGGATGTGGCTGAGTGGTCAAGTGCCCCTGAGTTCAATCCCTGGTCCCCCCCCCAAAAAAAAAACTTTCCTTAAAATCCAACTCCTGGAAGTAGCATTATCTACTAAGCTTGCTAACTAATAGGACTTATAGAGCTGCTGAACATTGTTGGGAGACAGCTTGCAATGGCAGACACAGCCCTGGGTCTGAACTTGGAGGGCTTTAGCCTGGGGTCTGGTCAATTATTACTAGAGATGAGAGCCTTAGTTCCTCATCTATAAAATAGTGACCTGCCTACCTGACAGTTGGTAAGAAGTAATATATGTAGACACCTGGCACTCAGCTTAAGCAGAGAAAGTAGTCACTAAATATGAATCACTATTATTATTTTTGTTAGTATCGTCATTGTTAACAGTAAGCATAATACATACTTTTCTCAGAAGGGAAACACTTGTGAGTTTTTCTTTTGTGTTGTCTTTTGTGTCTTGTATGTGTTCCTGCCTAGAAATGCAGTTAGGGGACACGATCATGGGTTGATTTCCACCTGAGTTTCTCCAAATTTTCCATTCCATATCCACAGACTGCCCAACTAACTTCTGTCAACTACCTCACTGCCTCACTTTGTGTTCGTCAACAAAGAGAGCTTGGCTTAAAGAAATGGATAGATTAGGTCAAACCAGCACCACTTTTGGAAAATCATAATAGTAACAATACAATAGTTCCATGTGTATTTGCTCTTTTTTTTTTTTTTTTTTTTGTACTAGGAATTGAACCTAGGGTACTTAACCACATCACAGCCTTTTTAAAAAATTTTTATTCTGAAACAGGTAAACAGGGTCTTGCTAAGTTGCTTAGGGCCTTGCTAAGTTGCTGAGACTGGCCTTGAACTTGCGATTCCACTACCTCAGCCTCCTGAGTCACTAGGATTACAGGCATGCACCATTGCAACCTGCTCATTTTTTTTCTTGAGTCTGTGAGAGAAGTAATATACTTCGTGGAGGCAACTTGACCTGCTTTCCCTCAACCTTAGCACTTACTGTGTATCTCTGTATCTTCAACTAGAGTAATAAACACAATCTGTAGGTTCTCGTGAAGATTAATAAGCTAAGATGTAAAGTGCCTTATACGGTTAATTGACATTCAGTATTACAAGCTATAGTGGGGCCCATGTTTTCTTTTCCATTTTCCATTTTAAACATTCTTGAAGGGTATCTTTACTGGGTATCTGCAGAATACAAGGAATTTTCATATTCCTTATTCCAATTAATTATTACCTGAGATCCAAAAGAAGACATTTTTTCAGGACCATAGAGCTAATAAGAGGAGCAAAGTCAAAAGTCTAGACTTCTACTTTTCCACTGTTTTCTTTTCCTAAGACACTTCCCACCACTCACAAGTCAGTTGACAATCCTGGGGTCATTAGGGAAACATAGTTTAGGAAATAAGGTACCCACTACTGTCAAGTAACTTTTTTTTTTTTTTAAGTCAAATGTGGTGGTGCTTGCCCATAGTCCCAGCTACTTGGGAGGCTGAGGAAGATGGACAGCTTGTGCCCATGAGTTCAAGACCAGCCTGGGCAACATATGGAGACCTTGTCTCAATAACAACTTAAAGATATGATATTTCTGACCTTGTATCTTGTTTTGGAATTGTTTAAAATAGGTACCCCAAACCCAAGGGGACTGATAATGTGGCTCAGTGATAGACCATGTGCTCACCAGTAAACCATGTGCTGAGTATATGCCAGGCTTTGGGTTCAGCCCCCAGCACTGCAAAAAAAAAAAAAAAAATGTACCCAAAATACCCCTGTAAGTTTGATTCAGTTTGATTCAGCAGTATTACTTTCAACTTTACAGAAAAACATAAATGAATGAAATTTTTGATCCTGACTTACTGACCACTGGAGTTTGTTTGCATCAGTGCCTTTTCCCTTGTCAATGAGAGATCCTGAGTTTGGGGGCCAATACTCACCTGCAGTTAGTGTTTCCATTAAGTTTCACAGCTGAAATATTACTCTAGGCCAGTAGTTCTCAAGCACAGAGGTACAGGCAGATCACCCCAAGAGTTTGTTAAAGTACAGATTGTTGTCCTCACCCTCAGAGCTTCTGAATCAGTAGATGGAGGAGAAGGCCTGGAATTTGCATTTTTTTCCCCATGTGTTGCTGATAGTGCTCATCTGAGAACCTCATTGTGAGAACCAGTGCTCTAGAGCAGGACTCAGCAAACTTCTATAAATGGCCTTATGGTAAATATTTTATGTTTGTTGGCCATATATCTTTGTCACAACTACTGAACTCTATCACTATAGCTCAGAATCAGCCATAAACAATTATAAGTGAATAAGGGTAGCGATAGGAACTGAAATTTTATGTAATTTCTTGTGTTACAAAGTATTTCTCTTTTGATTTCCTTCAACTACTTATAAATGTAATTTTTAAAAATTTTTATTTATTTTTTTAAGTCTTTGGCTGTATAAAAAGAGGGGCAAGTAGGCCAGAGTTTGACCCATAGGCTGTGTTTGCCAATTCCTGCCATGTAGTTGTGATTTGTTGGAGCTTTTTTAAACTAAAAATGTTTTAACTAATTGTGATGCAAGTGGATGGTTTCAAATATATAATAGTATAGAAGAAAATAAAATGAATCAAAATGTGTTCCCACCTCTAGCCTTAATCACATGCTCCACAGATAACCACTATTGATAAATATTCATTTCCAGAAATTTTATAGGCATATACAAGCTTATATAAATAAGTGTACAGCTTTTTACATTCATGAGCTTCTTATAGGGGATGTGGGACATAGCTCAGATGTGGAGCATTTGCCTAGCATGATCAAAGCCCTGGGTTTGATTCCCAGCACTGTCCCTACTTTCCCAAATTTGTGTGGGCTTCTTATGGACTTTTCAGCATTTACTTTTTATCCTAACAATGTATTATTACCTCTTTCCTTGTCGATACTTAGAGATGACTTAGCTTATTCTTTTTAACAATCCCAGAGTTTTCAATTGTGTAAATGTGTTATAATATTTAACCAAGTCCCCATTGATGTTTCCCATTTAGAAACATTTAGGTAGTTCCCCCCTTTTTTTTCCACTCAAAACAGTGTTTCAGTGATGGTACATCTTCACACATCCATCATTGCGTAACATCCACAGGATAAAGTCTGGGAAGATGAATTGCTGAGTCAAAAGATATGTGCATTTAAAATTTTGATAGATACTTCTAAATTCCTGTTGTGACTACTTTAGGGCCCTCTGTCCATTTGCTTTCAGGGTTATACCTACATTTTTGCTATTTGGTCTTTTTCTGATTTGAGCATTCTTCACAATGAATTTCAGTATAATGCCTTGATGCACATGAACTTAACACACTGTAATCCTATGGAGGGCAAAAGTGCAGCTGGCAATTTGTCTCTGATACTTGAAATGAAAATGGCTTTAAAGAATATAAAGCCATCAAAATAGTGCCCTGAATTCTAGGGTTATCCTGGACATTGTCACATAAGGTACCACAGTAGAAATTGTTCTTTTTACAGACTTGGTGTTTTAGCACATGTTTCTATATGTTTGTTTCCCATTACAGTAGAGTTTTCCATTGTCAGGCATTTATGTAAACATAGTATTAGCTAATAAATATGCTGTGCTACTCTTGTACTAGAACTTGGAATACAATTGCTTTCCTTTCTGTTTGGGGCTTTTCCTTTTTGACTCAATAAAGGATTAGAATAATGATTTAGTAGGCAACAACACAACACCTTCAAGTGCAAGCACTGTTAGTTTTGTTTCTTTTTTCTTTTTCTTTCTTTCTTTTTTTGTTTTTACTTAAAATACATTTCTGTTCATAGGTTGTCATAGAATTTTCTCTTCACCACTCAATCGTATCTACTTACACAAGCAGTCAAGCAGTCAACAAAGAAGAAATTTCTTTTTTCGAAGACAAAGAGATATTTCACACAGTATAGTTGTGCCGGCTGCAGTTTCTCCAGCGCATCCAGTTCCTAAGGTACGGTATTGCCTATTATCTGCTGCTTTTTCCAGCCAAGATAAAGATTGACTGCAGAAGTGATCAAATGTTTTTTGCACCTTTGATTTCCAGGCCATTTAAGTCATAATTTAAAACTTGGTTCGTGATTTAAAATTATGATGTGAGAAGTTTTAACATCCTGTAGTTCTAGAACATTAATTTTTAAAAAGAAAGCTCTGAGTGTAGAACTGCTTAGCTTGTTTAGAATTTAAATTTCTATCCTGAAATTTTCTTTATTAAATTTCTAACATGAAGATAAAAACTATACATGTGTGGTTTCCAAACTTTTAGGACAGAAAATAACTATAAAATTGGGATGATTCAAGAGAGATTACATGAAACTAACACACTGGATTTTTTTTTAAAAGCTTGCTCTTATACTTTCCATTTCATTAGTGCTATCTTTGAATTGTCCTTTAGAGTAGATTAAATAAAATATCTTGTTTGAGAGCATTGTTGACTTTTTTTTCCCAAAGATTGCAATTCTGTGGAAAGACAATCTGACCATTTTTCAAAATGAAATATAAAGGAGCTGTGTGGGTCATTTAGTAAGAGTAGCTAAAAGAAATATGAATTTGTCACAAAACCACTGCCTTCTTCCTTTTGCAGTTTTTAAAAATGTTTAACAGCGAACTCATATTAAGAATGTTTTACCTCCTGAAGGTGAATGGCCCATTTTGTTGCAGGAGCTCATGAGAAAAGAAAGATCACCAGAGCCCAGAGTACATTCCTGGCTTGGCTGAGGCCTGGCCATCATAGTGAGAGCCAGTATTTGGTATTAGTCACAAAATTGACATTACTTTTCCTTAGGAAAAAGAAAAAGAAATTGCCAGATAGGTAAAAGGATTCTTTTAGACATATCAATCAATTTCAAGAACAACCCAATATCCTCTCTGCCAGGTTATAGAGCCAGAATACAGACAAGATCACAGGCTGTTTGGGGGGAAACCTGGTGAGCTGTGGGCATTAGTGGGATGGCTGGAATAGAGTAGATGCTTCTTCAGGGCTCAGCTGTGGCAGCCCAGGCAGTGCTGTTGCTTGAATCAGAAAAGCCCCTCTGACTGGAGAATAAGAGAAGATTCTAAAACCCAGCATGGCACTCTTCACAAAGAGAAGAGCCTTAATCGCAGCCTTTCCAGAGTTGTGTGATGTCCCCATTGAATGGTGTTATCTCCCTCACCCTCCTGTCCCAAACTGCTGTGGCATCTTACTGGGTTCTATTAAACAATGCTTATGTACAATTGCTATAAATAACTTACAAAAGGGCTGTACAAAACCTCTGGACTAAAAGAAATTCTGTGGAGGATAGTATTATTTCCTGAATATGCCAATGGGTTTAGGTAAGTGGTGGAGGATGGTGTCTACAAGAGTGATCAGGGTTGAATTTTTTTAAATTTGGGGGGGTGCCTTTTGTCCTTGACAAATGATGAAAATGTTCTAGGTAATTTTTTATGTACTCAGGCAAAAAAGAAAAGGAAGCTGTTTTGTTTTATTCTCTAAACTCTGAGTAGGGTTGCCAAGTGTAAGAAAAGTGTATGTGTAATAGGCTTCCATGGACTTGACAGTCAGCCTTTTTACAAATATTCATTGAGAGAGGGTGTTGGGAGCTTCCTTTGCATAAATTTGATCTTTGTGTTAAGAAGATGAAAGTGCTTTTTAATTTTAATTAACCATTTGGCAACTTGGAAGCTTGGTGCTATTTTTCATCAATGGTGATATGCTTCCAACAGGGTTGGGAGGAGGAAGAAAAGAAAACTACTGTTTGTTTTGACCAGAAGTCTACTTCAGTCGAGTTTGACTCAAAGCATGGTGAGGTTAACAGACCATCCAGTGGCAGCACTAACGGGCAATGTTAAGTTCAAAAGGGCAGGGGAAGGAACTGGGGGCAGCCTGGAGGGTCTGTTGTGCTGGCTTCGAAGGTCGGTGCTCCGGCAGGAAGGGCAGAGCTCCATGAAGCAGGAGGCTGTGTCCGAAAAAATGATCCCATTGTGGTACGCTGGGTTCTGATCTTCGTTTTCAATCCTTTTTCCTCAAGCACATAAAGAAGCCAGACTATGTGACGACAGGCATTGTACCCGACTGGGGAGACAGCATAGAAGTTAAGAATGAAGATCAGATTCAAGGGCTTCATCAGGCTTGTCAGCTTGCCCGTCGTGTCCTCCTCCTGGCTGGGAAGAGTTTAAAGGTGGTGTCTTACCAAGCCTCAGAGTGACTTCCATAAGGGGCAGCTTCTCTTTCACTCTTTTTTTTTTCTCTTTCACCTTAATTTTTGTTTTGTACACATCTAATTCACTTTCAAAAAATTTAGTAAAGGACTAGGGATGTGGCTCAAGCGGTAGCGCGCTCGCCTGGCATGCTTGCGGCCCGGGTTCGATCCTCAGCACCACATACCAACAAAGATGTTGTGTCCGCCAAGAACTAAAAAATAAATATTAAAATTTAAAAAAAAATTTAGTAAAGCCTTGGGATGGGAGAAAGGGACCTTATTATTTTATGTATTTATTGAAGAGGTAATTTTAAAATCCAAATTGAATTTTTACTAGCAGAATTCTAGAAATATCTTGGGCTAAATCAGCCTATCCAAGTTGATCAGTGGCAGATGGCTTTGACTTTTGCCTCTTACTCCTGCCTATAATTTCTGCTTTTGTTTCCTTCATTATTTCTGTATGCTTGAAGAATTATTCTACCTTGTAGTTTGCCTCCTATTTTCTTGCATTAGCTCTGCAATGAAAGATCAGACCAGATACACAAAGCTATAGATATAATGGCCATATAATTGTATACAAAAATCCTACAAGATTTAGTTCTTTTATAATAATTTGAAACACCCTGCTCCATAGAGATAATGAAAGAACGTAAAGCCTGTCGTTTCCAAAAGGAGGGCAGAATTTAGGAAGACTCAAAGATGAAATCACTTACTGTGTCATCTGTATAATAAACTTGTTAGAGCAACATAACTAAGCATAATGTGAATATAAAATAACAGAAAATTATTGGAGAAATAGTTAATTTTTAATAACAGATTTTATTTTGTTTTAGATTTTTATTTATGATTTGTGAGTTTATGAAAATAGTCTACAAGTGCTCATTAAACTCAATTTCAGGGGCTCAGTCTAGCTCAGTGGTAGAGTGCTTGCCTAGCATACATAAGGCCCTTGGTTCAAGTGAGACCCAACACCACAAAACAAAATAAAACAAAAACTTCAGTTTCAGTTTTTTCTGTTTGGGAGCGATTGGTTACCTTATAATAAGGGGGAAATTTGTTTTAAACACATTTACGTACTTAGGCATAAAAGAAATCAGGATTAGTGACAACCAAATCTCTACAAAATGTATCAGACTGCGTTTCTAAATGATGACCCCTAATCTCCATCCCATTGCTATAAAACCCATGTAATGTTTCACTGAACTAAAGTGTGGGTTGACCTACTTTTTCAGACCTGTTGTCTAAACCAAAAATCCTTTGGAGCATTTATTCAAGTTTCCATTAGCCATGGTACTAACTATTGAGAAAGAGAAAAGGATTGCTGAAAGACATATTGTGGAAATCTTCAGGCTAAAAAGGACTAATGTCATTTAATGACTCACAATAATTTAGAGGATCCTGGAGTTTAAATTTTCTATTTCTTAAGAGTCCATAATACTATCATTTACCCCTGCCCCCCCCAAAATCATCAAAAAAAGCATAATTGAAGATGGTAACACTAGTCATAATTAATTAAAATATTATATAACACGTTTTTTATAGTAAGTCTATACAATCTCACATGGAAGTGCTGTTATTATGGGAATAGTTGGTAAATACAGGAAATATCTTCAACTGTCACTGCATAATTTTTGTATTTAATATTATAGGTTGACATGACAACTGAAGAGATAGATGCTCTTGTTCATCAGGAAATCATCAGTCATGACGCCTATCCCTCACCTCTAGGCTATGGAGGCTTTCCAAAATCTGTTTGTACCTCTGTAAACAACGTACTCTGTCATGGTATTCCTGACAGGTATTTGGTTTTTGATAACATATTGTTCCTTTGGAAACTAAAACATGAAAATAAGATCTATAATGTATGTTGGAAAATACTATGACTCAATTGAAATCCACCTGTAAACTTCAGAAGTTGATTATGATAAAACAGAAATTTTGAAGTATTTCACTACAAAGTGGATATAACACCATCATTTAATATTTGTTAAAACAGTATGTGATATACAGTAGTTGTACAGTAACTATTTCTTTTATTTTCCTCAATTTTTACCATATATATGGTGAAAGTCCAATGTAGGCAAGTGTTTTGTTATCAACTACTGTTTTGGTTCTTTATAACATTGAGATAACTAATAAGTACATCTTTTTAAAGGATAGGTGATTTTTTAAACACTGGCAATATGTTTGTTTTATCTATTTTTTATAAAATTTGATGTGACTAACATAAGACATAGATCAGATGTAGTTATTCCATTTATGTCTCTTTCACTCCAAATTATCATTGCAATTCACTGAGTTTATGATAGTAGTCATTAGGTATTTACTTTTTATTCCTTTTATTGAGATCTATCACCATTTTTTCCTTCTGTTTATGTTTCAGTCGACCTCTTCAGGATGGAGATATTATCAACATTGATGTCACGGTGAGTAAATCATACAAAAAATAGTCTTTGATCAACTTCAGAATTGCTAGTAGCAACAGGAAGAAGAGTGGATTGAAAATGTGAACTGCACCGGTGGAAGTGCTGTTTACTTCTAGCCCCAGACGCAAGCAGCTGGTTTCCTTTTTTGTCTTTAACTCTGTGTTTATTCCAAGTAAACCCAGGCCTGACTTGAATTTAGGGCTGGAATCAGATGCACTGAGATCAATGTTGGCCTAAGTGAAATGTCAACCCAATCCTGCTATGTGTCATGTTTTTGAGAAGGTGTAATTGTTATTGATCCACTGTGTAGTTAATGCAGAGCACCACAGCACTGGGCAGCTGCTGAAGCTAGATATGTATGAGATGAGCTAACACGAAGAAAGCCAGCATTTTTCCTTCACTCTGCCAAGATTGATCTTCCTCTTCCTGCTGATTTTGAGTGGGGCCTGTCATTATCTTACTCTGTCATTAGGGGCTACATTGGCCTGTGTGTCAGTCTATTTGGACAGCAACTCTTTTGCTAGCAGTGTTCCCTAGATTTATTAAAATCCCTGAAGGTAACATTGTGTTCCATTTCTGGTATAGAGAGTCTTGAGCTCAAAGCATACAGTGGTTTTCTCTCTGAACTTTTTAAAGTTTTCACCAAATGGTTAATGGCCTTAAAAAAAAAAAAGTTAATTTTTAATAACAGATTTTATTTTGTTTTAGATTTTTATTTATGATTTGTGAGTTTATGAAAATAGTCTACAAGTACTCATTAAACTCAACATAGGGACTTCAAATTGTACAAGCTTTAACCTTTTCTAATTTTCTTAGCCTTTTACCATTCTCAGACTTGAATTATTTGTGCTTATTTTATTAAAAATTGTTGTAATGATACTTTTGGATTATGTAGATCATAAAATCTGTACATGATTAATAAATACATTTTAAATAAATAAATACAATTTGAATGTCTGATTAGAACCAGCTGACATGGACAACATTCAAGGAATAGTTTCTATTAATGAGAAAATATTTTTAGTAATAGTTGTTTTTTTATCCAGATCATGAAACTTAAGTGGAAGTTGGAAAGAGATAGAAATGGGCATCCAGTATTTGAATTCAGTCATATTTTCAGTTAAGTTAATTCAGCCTTTTTTCTTCATATCAGCTGGTATAAGGATATATAGCCAAGGATTCTTTCATTGCCAATACTATTTCCTATGTTATTTTGTTTTACTTGAACATTTGCTCCACATACTCTGTTGGTATCTTTCCAACTCAGAATCATGTAGGAGGTATTTTATAAAGTGTTATAAATCTCACCTGATCACCCTAATGAACTATTGCTGCTTGAATGAAATCAGCATATTCTTCCATACTGTTTCAAATGTGTCCAAAGAGAATATTTTATTACTTTTCTAGATTCTTTTAATAAGTAATTTTGTTTTTAAATTTTAAATTATTTCAATAGTTAACAAAACTCATAAAGCAAAGTGAAATTTCAAGTGTCTAGAAATGTGAAGGAACCTAGGAAACATATAGGTTAGTATCTTTTTTATTTTCTTCCGCATTGGGTATTGAACCCAAGGCCTTATTCTTGCTAGGCAAGAGCTCTGCTACCAAGCTACATCCCCAGCCCTACATTAGTATTTTAACAAATTATATGTTTAATGAATTTTTTTAATATTTATTAAAATATTAGTTGGACATAATATCTCTATTTTATTTATTTATTTTTATGTGGTACTAAGGACTGACCCCAGGGCCGTGCAGGTGCTAGGCAAGTGCTCTATCACTGGGCCACAACCCCAGCCCTCTGATGAAATATTTTGTTAAGTCAAGGACTCCATTACCAGATTCTATAATTTTATCAGAAAATACTCATTATATTTTATAGTTTACTTCTAGTATGCATCACAAGAAAATAGGTTTCTTTTTCTATTAAAAGTTGAATATTTTTTTAAAAGACAATGTGGTACTTATAGTAGTTGCTCAATAATATTTCTTAAATAAATGAAGTATAAAACAAGAATAGTTTTTGGATATAAACACTGGTTATATATGTTGCTACCAACTCTCAAAAGCATTCAAGTATTATACTTGAATCCTTCAAGTAGTCATTTTGAAAACTAGTAAATATATGAAAAACAAATAGAATTTCTGAATAATACATTTTTACCTAAAAACAGTTACATAAACATTTACAGTTACAGATGTTCTTGAAAAATTAATCATTAGCAAATTTTATATTCGTGTATATAGATTGTAAAGAACAATAAATGGGAATGAACATATTGAACACTATTCTTTTACAAAGTAATTAAGATAATTTGATACAGTTGTGAAAAAAACTTGATTAGAAGGCAACTTGTCTGTGTGTCTGTCCCGACTTACAAAGTGGAGATCTTCATGAAGTCCTTTCTTGCCTCCCTCACAGAATATAGGAGAACATTTTTAAAGATGCAGAATAGTATACAGATTTACAACATAAATTCAGAATTAAAACAGAACATTCAGATAAATATCTCTTTAATAGCAGTTTCTGCATTCAACTTTATGAGAAAAAGAACTATGAAAAAGAGTACAAATTTATGCAAAATAGTAAATCCCATGCTACCTCCAAGGATCAATATTCAACCAGTCTCCTCTGCCTTCTGTATTTATTATAGTGTTTGGTAATAATTGATTTTTTTAATAATAAATCTGGTGACTTAAAGATCTTGTAGGGTTTCTGAATCATTGAAGACTGATAAAATTATATTTTCTGTAATTTTTCTTATAAGCCTGTTCTGATTTTTAAAAAATCCATGTACAGTGTTTTCAGTGACATTCTGCTATCTGGAACATTTGATTAAGACTTCACTTTGGACATGGGATGTTTTTTTCTATAACATATTTCATCCTCATATTGAGCCATTTCAATTCTTAGAACTAAATTCTCCTAGCATCCATTATAATATATCTTATCTTATTTCTTCTTGTCATTATATATCACTTCCAAGTCTAGAACTGGTAAATAAAGATCATATAAATCTTCATGATATTAAGGAAAGTTTTTACTATGTTAAATACTTCTTAGTTTTCTAAATCTATCCTGGTAATTGTAGGTCAGTGTATTTTATTTGACCACTAATTTTTGTATACAGTGACCAAATAAAATACATTTGTGTTCTCAAAATTAAAATGAGGAATCAAAATGTTATACTAGTGTTTCTAATCATAGTGCTGAAATAGATGTATTAGCCATTCATATATTTTTTAGACTTTGTTATATCATTACATGCTTCATCTTTTTACTTTCTGTAAGGTTTCAGTGTATCTGTTTTATTTTTTATAGGCAAATAAGTATAATTCTGAGTTTACTAAATACATAAATGAATAATATGTGTACTTTAGGAGAGTAGATTTTTAAACAAGGACATATTTTAAAATTTCTGCCTGCGTTTAGGTCTATTACAATGGCTTCCATGGAGACACCTCTGAAACATTTTTGGTGGGCAAGGTGGATGAATGTGGTAAAAAGTTAGTGGAGGTTGCCAGGAGATGTAGAGATGAAGCAATTGCAGCTTGCAGAGCGGGGGCCCCCTTCTCTGTAATTGGAAATACAATCAGGTAAGCCTTACACTGACAAGTTAAGGGAGGGTTGGCAAATGGTACAAAGGTTATTGGTGGCTGGGTATAAAGTTGATGACATGTTTTATGATTCAGAACCATCATTTCAGTCTGATATCACTATGTGAACTGCCAGGCTGCAATATTCTCCCTGAGTTGAAAAAAATAAAAATAAAAAGACTTTTTAAAAGGGAATTATACCAGGGTCAGCAAAGAAACTTACTGGAATAGCCAACAATATTTATATGGCATCTTATGTTTTAGCTCGACATATTGGTCTATAATGTTGCTGTACTCAAAATCACACCAAATATGGAAAAAAGTGCTTAGGAAGGGGATGAGCATTCCAACTCTTGGATAAGGAGAAAGGAGAAAAGCTAAATGTTATAAAGGAGTGAAGTGAAACATATTCCTATGATACAAAGATAAAAGCTGTTGGCTCAAGCAAACCTTATCTTTTGATTAGCAAATTAATAGATCAGCAAGTAACCCAAAAGGGTGATCTCCTGTCCTTTTTCTGCCTGGTTCACTTTTCCTGCAAACCATTGTTTATTTCCCACACAGTGTTCTATGCTTGCTTTCCGAGTGTATGTGTATTTTCTGAATTCAAGACTTTTCTTTGTAATCTGTTACCTACTTTCAGGTCTTTTTTCTCCTAGCTCTTTTGAAGTAGACATGCAGAATATGTGTTTTCATTTAAAAGTAACGCATTTTGTTAAAGAAGATCACATCAGTACCCTTTAAAGTACTGTTCTCATTAATATGAACCATTGAATACTTCCCATTTGTCTAAAGATGGAAGGCTTAGTCACCTTGAAAAGATGCTGCCTTTTTTCTTCATCTGCCTTCAAATACTTTAAGAAAAAAGGCAGTAAAATATCAGTTAAATGCATTTATGGCTTTAAAAATATTGTAACAGTGTCTGAATCAAACTTTAGTAAAATCTCTTTGGGTTATATCTGAGAAGCTTTTATTGAAGACTTTGAACAAAATTGTGTTTTTGACAGTTTTAAATTATAGGCTAACTAGCCTGGGAAAAAAGGATAGTGTCTCTCTGTTCTTTCATAGGAAATGTTGAATCAGACCCCTACTGGGAAAAGAAATTTAATGCATATCTCGCTATCTTACTGTCCATGAATATAATAGAAATGAATTCAAAATGCAGTTTTATTTTTGCAAATGGGATGAGTCGATAGATGCACCTCATATTTTTGAACACCTAGGGTTCAACAAATTTACTGGTGGTGCTCTTGCATTTTAACAAAATTTATTCTTCAGTAGAAGGGGGCAGAGAACACTAGATTCTTATTCAAGCATTCTATCGAGCTCTGCATTCATGGCTGTGTCTAAAGGGCATGTCAGCCTTTGATTCTCTCTGAGAGGTAATTATCCTTTTCCTGTCACGGAACAACAAATGATAGCTAACTACAGAGGCACATTTGCAGTAGTCACATTCATCAACTGCAGAAAAAAAAATTCAATTTAATTGTGCAACACAGCTGCACATGGGCTTTTGAGCATTTCTGTTGTTCTCCCTGTCTCGCTATTCCTCCCTCCAGATCTATTTTTTAAACTTTTTTTCTGGTTATTTTTTCCCCTTTTTGTCTCTTCTTCCATTTTTACTCTCTGTACTTTCTTGTTAAAGTAATTTTCCTTTGTGGCTCTCATTCTTTTTTCCCCATTGAAGGCTATGAATGTAGAAAATTATCACAATTACTCATATAATTGAGCCTCTTTGTAGCAAGTGCAACTCCAGTAGCCTTTCTCCATCATGAAAATGGTTTCATTATAGGGTTTTTCATATTCTCTGACACCATCTACACAGAGGAACAGGCGTGCAGATGAGATGTACTAGGAACAGGCTAGATCAGTAAGGTCACAGTAGGAATAATTAGCTCTGCTATGGAAAGAGCATCTAGGCCTTTTACTGCTACATAAATGTACTGTCCGTGGCTTTTAGTCACAAAAAAAACTTACTAACAAATGGAGCTCCCGCCTACTACTTTGAAAAAAAGATTTGTATCAACACTACAATTTTCCATCATTAAGACTAATAACACAGAGCCTAGTATACATCAAGGGGAATAAAAAGAAAAATCTCACATTCAAGTGGTGGCTGGGTGCTGACCTTTGTTCCCTTTTTTTGTGTACGACTTAACTCTTTACAAAAAAGAGCCACACGCCACACCAACATGCAGGTGAACTCCAGCTAGTACTAGCAAAGCACAGCATTCAGTCGGAAAATCTGATAAATCTCCATGCAGGATAATGCATTTCATTACATATTCACTACATTAATTCTAGCTACATTAAAAAAAAAAAGAAGAAGAAACAAGAAGAAGAGTAGAATTGAAAGTGACATTGGATTTTAGCTATCTGGATGCAAAGGTCAGTTTTTGCAGAGTATGAATTTGCATGTACAAGCTCCTTTGAAAACCAGATCAGTCTCAACAACTGCACATACAAAACTATGTGGGGGAAAAAAAAAAAACAGACAATGAACTTCTTACTTTTACCCTAATGCATTTCATTATTTAGATGGTTTATGTCTGCGGTTGGTGAGGAAACTGGCCCCAATTGTAACAAATGTTTGTTCTGATGTGTTAAAGCAGTGTTTCTGAACATCTATTATTTTGCCTTTTTTTTTTATTCAGACAAAATCTTAAGAGTAAGTAAACAAATGATATCCACCTTTGAGCCAAAAGTACTTGAAATCTTTACAAACCAAAGGTTTACAAACATCTTTCAACTTGGTCTCGTTTATTGTAAGATATTCACCATCTTTGCACAGCCTCCCTTCACTGCTACCCTCTGAAAAGAACATTCAAGCAGCTTGTCAGTATTTTGTTACTCCAGACCTCCAAGTCTCTAAGGAATATTTTTGAATTTTCCTCTGAGACTTAGAGGATGGGATGATGTCTGTGAAGAAGTATCAGTCAAAATGATTTCACAAAAAGACTCTCTGTATGCCCTTTTGCTTTGCGAGGGATGCCTAGTGATCTTTAGGCCATAGTGTTGTTATACTCGTTGTACCTCCATGTGCTTTAAAACATTCCTAGATCTGTATTTTTGTTAACTGTCTCTAGATTATATTATCTATATGAGAATATTATAAATGTATAGATTCATGCATCACAAATATATGATAGGTCAACCAAAAATAATTCAGGTTTATAGTTGTAAATGTCATGATGAAGGTATCAATAAATGGCTTTTAATGTTTAATTCATAAGTATATGTTTTGATATTAATCCAGAACAATATAAAGCAGATTTTTTAAAAATAATCTCTTTCTATTAGATTATGCACAAACAATAAGTGGCTCAGGCAAAATAAGTCATTTTAATGTCATCTGTGATGGATTTTTCTTGACAGCTACTGTAAATTACAATTACACTGCTTCTCTCTACACATGAAAGTAAGCATTGCAATAAATTATCTTTTATTTCAATCCATCATGTCTGCTTTTCAGAAACAGAAAACCTCAAATAAAAGTTCAGCACTATTGTAAGAAAAACACAGTAATTTATGATCCAGTTTGAAACAAAAAAATGTACCACTCTTTTGGAAAACAGTTGTTGGCTTTCAAAAATATTACTAATTATACTTAAACATTCCTGTCATTATAGGGGATCCCTGAATTTGTACATTCCTTCATTCAAAGACTACTATTTAGATTAAAATCTAGAAAGATTAAAGTAAAATTACCTAACTGAACAAATCAGGTGCCATTTGTGATCCTTTATTAGAGATGTGTGACCCTTTGGAGATTACTGTTGCTTATGGGATTCATGTAAAAATGGTAATAAAACTATTTCCACGTGCATTTTTATTTCTTTGTCAGAGCATGTACTTAAACATAGTACTCCTCTGCCCTCTTGGGGAATGTATTTTTACTCATACAAAGTAGTTGAAATGCATTAAAAAATTTTACTTATCTAGACAATGCTACAATTGAGTCCAACTACTCATGAAAAGGAATTTAACTGAATAAAATGGTCACAAGATGAAATTCCTTAAAAGAAATTTCTCTCTTTCAACTATAAACTGTAGCCGAAACATGAACTGTAATAACACAGTATAATTGAAGAGTGAGTTCATCAACTGCCTTTACCCACCTTCTTCCTTTACTCTCTCCCCTAGTATTCCATAAGAAAACCTTAAAATCATAAATGTACTGGGCTTGTGCGTAGGTGTAATACTATCATAAAGGATATTTAGTTAGAGGAAATCAGAACAGAAGAGTTAATATAGGAGAGTTCTTATCAGTAGATTTAAACAAGGAGAAGGAAGATTTCATGGGTGAAATGTTCAGAAAAAAACCCTATGCTCAGAAACAGGTCATGGCCCCACTGGGGCAGGTGTTGAGGAGCAACTGCAGCACTTCTTGGACATTCCTGCCTGATCCACTATTTTTATTTTCCCCAACATAACAGTCAAGAGGTAACTGCAGGCTGTACCTTCCTGTGCCACAGTTAAGGTGACCAGCCCTTGCTTTTATGTTAGAGGATCGGAGTCACTTGTGTTGTCTCTGTGAAATCAGATTTAAACCCTACAGTCAGATAACTAATCTTGTGCTCACCATATATCCCAAAATAGTAGAAGGGGAATATTTTTAAATAGTAATTAGGAACATTAATGAGATTTTGTCCCTGTAAGTGTATGTTAAAAAACTACCAGTCCAAAAGGAAAATACCCTGAAAAGCAGACAGAAGTATGTTTTCAGCTCCTGGGATCAAGCTTTGAGGTGGGTTCAACCAAGGAATTGAGAGAAATGTGTCCTGTTCTTTTCCTCTCTTCACCCGGCTGTGAAATCCTCTAACCTTTGCATCTGTGACGCGTAGAGTCTATGATACTCCTGAAACCAGAAGTTCCACTGGGACTCAGGGAGCAAATTGTTGTAGGAGAATGCACTCAGATATCTTTATCCACCTAGTAATTGCACAGCTTCTTTTATGAAGAGGAATGAGAGGTATGATGGGGGGAGGGACCCTGAGGGTTTTTTACAGAGTGGGCTTTCTTCCTCTCATCGGAAATTAAAATGAAGATTGCCATTGTAACACACATTTAGGATGTAGCTGTGATGCCTGCCAATCACCTGGACTCTGGGGGCGGGGGTAGCTTTCTTTCTTTTTTTCTTTCTTTCTTTTTTTTTTAAGACAAGGAAATAGAATAGTTAATATTGAATGCTCTTTGAATCACCGAGATTTGTTGACTGAACTAACATAATTTAGAGATTTAGGTAGAACCCATTCTTATTTTTTTAACTCAATCTAGATTATAATGTCTTATTTAATCATCTATTTTCTACCCTCTTTCCACTTTCCATCCTCAGTTTCTATTCAGAAATTGTGTGGAACAAATAGAAACACCTTGGAAAAGATGTTATAACTCCTGCCCACAGTACAAAGACCCACAGAAATAACAAGTACAAAGTACAACTTATGAGATTAAAATGTTGACTTATTCCTCTCCTTGACACATGCATAGCTTACCCATTTCTATATTATCAATTATAATTAAATTTCAATGATAAGCTGACCATATGCTGATTATAGTGACATCCTTGTCTAAATGAAAATACTGAGAAATCTGGGGATGGTTAAAAATGTCTTTAAAATGCATACAGATATAATGTCTATAAAGGTGCTGGCTAAAGCATTCATGCTAAGCTAAAACTCAAGTTTGTTGAAAACTCTGGTTCCATAGTTTTAAAAAATGGATTTATTAGGAACTGCAATAGTGGTCCTGTAAATCTAAATCCATTGCTGGTGGTAGGGTTAGGGACATTATGCCTTTCTTCCACATGGAAATGAAAATCATAGCCAGGCACAGTCATACATACCTGTAATTATAGTGATTACAGAGGCTGAGGCAGGAGGATCACAAGTTCAAGGCCAGCCTGGGCAACTTAGCAAGAAGGTCTCAAAATTTAAAAATGGGGGAGGGGACAGGAAAAAAAGGACTAGGGGAGCATAATTTAGTGGTAAAGCACCTCTGGATTTAGTCTTCAATATCAAATTTAATGGAATAAAAAGAGAAAGAAAAGAGGGCTGGGGTAGCTCAATGGTAGAACCCTTGCCTAGCATGCACATTCCACACCCAATACTGCAAAACAAAAAAGAAAATGTAAATCATTCATGATGTGTATGTTCTTACCAGTCTGATTCTCCCAGAGCAAACATTTACCTGATTTCAACAAAAACTTTTCCAACTTGAGGGTAAAGATTTTAGGGTTGGATTATGTGCTAGATTTCATTTATAAGAGATAGGTGGAACACAAAAACAATTGCATGTAGAATAATGAAGCATTAAGAATTAGGAATCACACACTAATTTAGGCATCATAATGATGAAAAAAACATTCTTTATGAATTTCATTAATGTTGTAGGTCTTGAGTTGAACTCCAATGTAATCACAAAGTTTTAGAGTGTTTCAAGAAAATTGACAAAAGAGAATTAGCCTTTTATGTGAGCATGTCTGTTTGTAAAATGTATAATATCTTGAAATAGGTCTGCATAAAGGAAACGATAGAAGTAGCAAGTCATATTTCTAGATTGTAATTTTCTTCTCTGTTTAGTTCCCAAATCAGTAGTAATTTGCACAGCAGTTTACCCATAAAACCATAAAAACTATATAGATTTTTATGATCTGCATTAGATGCACATATCTTAGTTTTGTATATCAATTATATCAATCTATGTGTGTATGCATATTCATTTCTTGTCTAAAAATGACCTTGAACACTGTACTAAGGTACATGAGTCAAACTACTGTGTTAGATACATACCTTCTTTCTTCATATATCCAAGGGAATTGTTATAAGCATCAGCAAAATTGAAAGTATTCCAGAATAAAGAAAATGGTAAGTTGGGGGCAGTGGTGCACACCTGTAATACCAGATAATCTAGTAGCTGAGGCAGGAGGATTCAAAGCTCACCGGCAGCCTCAGCAACTTAGTAAGGCCAAAAATTAAAATTTTTAAAGAGTAGAGGATGTAGTTCAGTGATAGAGTGTTTGCCTAGCATGCCTAAAGCCTCAGATTCAATCCCTAGCACCACAAAGAAAAAAATATATATATATGATCAGACTCTAAATAGAGCTTATTTTTTTCTTTTTCAGAGGATATTTTATAATGACGTTCTTTTTATCTTATCATTCATTTAAAACTTATATACTTTAGTTAAATATCTTTTGGTCACTTTTAAAGCCGCATAACTCGTCAGAATGGTTTGCAAGTCTGTCCACATTTCGTGGGACATGGAATAGGATCTTACTTTCATGGACATCCAGAAATTTGGCATCATGGTAAGAAAATTAATTTGGAAGCTCTTTATTGAATGGAATCAGGCTAAGGTATTTTTGCTCATGAAAACTTACTTTGAATCAAATTATTATTCACGTGCATGCATGTATATGTAAGTGTAAAGGTAATTATTTAATTTTAACCAGCACATTACTATGTTACTAGATCAGAGCCCAGCAATTTCAGTCCCCAAATAAGGTTTATTTTACTTTTTGTCTTCTCATGAAGGGCGCATGACTGGAAAGCACAAGAAACATTTGTCTAGAAAAAGTTACTGAAAACAAAACACCACTGCATCAATGTCCCAGCAGCATGCACATATGACTGTTTTCTGTTTTTCTTTTTCTACCCCTTTTTCTAACTGCTGACTGTTGTGGTTAAACTTCATTACATCCTACACAGCGTTGACAGCTGATGTATTTAGCAGCATGTACTCTTTTAGTGATTTCTAGATTATACCCACCCTTGCGTTCCTTCCCCAGAATCCCCTATTTTTCACTGCCTGGGTGTGCGCCCTACAGTGAGAAGGCAGTGGGCCTGAAGTGGTGGGAGGATTTGGGTTAAGGTATGAGGCAGCTGTTTGGAGGAGCCTAAAGTGGCTGCACATTTGGACAGGAACCAAAGAAAAATTGATCCTGAGGCCTGACCTTGTACTTGGGGTAGAATTGGTCTCTCGAGGAACTAGGGCCTGGAACCTACCCCTAGAGAGTCCCTGGAGACTTACAGGGACAGAACCCCTTTGGACAAAGAGCTGCACCTAACACAGTTCAGAAGAGGTCCATGTGAGAGTGCAGGAAGGGCCTGTTAGCCCTGTGCTCCACTCAGTGCAGATGCCTAGAATTAATTTATTTGAGGATTAATTAATGCCTAGAATTAATTTATTTGAGGTACCTCTCTGCCTGCTTCAACCTGCACACCAGGATGCTGTCCTCCTTTTGTGTACTTCACTAAGACTTCTTTCTCTTTGAGTCAAGGGTAAAGGTCAAGACCCTGACCTAGTGAGACCAGGAGATCTAGCAGCAGGTGGCCTGGGGAACATAAGAAGGGTGAGAGGGAGCCCTACAGGTGTCTAAAACAACCAGACCATCCCCACCAAGTCTTGGCAAACACTTGGGGGTTGGGGGGAATTTGCCCAGAGCACAGATAACTGCAAAGATTGAGGCCCAGGAGCTTTGTATTTTACCTCTGGGGCCACCCAGGAATCTATAAGCTTTCACCTCTCCTTTCCCTAAAAGAAATAAAATTATCAAGTTTTTAAAGCATACCCAACTCCCCTAATTATGTTTATTTCTGCTTTTTCATTTCCTATTCTCACCACCTACCCACCCATCCCCATTTCTGTTTTGCAGAGAATGACAATGACCTTCCCATGGAGGAGGGCATGGCCTTCACCATAGGTAAATGCCAGGGCTCCTCTTTGGAGAGCCGTGACTCCTGGGTGGAAACTGGGAAACTATTGCTGGCCTAGTCCTGAGAAGGACTAATAAAGCCAATCAGCATAATGAAATAATTCAGATGCATAGTAAATCAAATTAAATAATATCCTGGAGCCCCATCTTCCTAAATCAAATACTTACCAACACATTTAGGAGAAGGCAACCATCCAACCTCTAATTCTGTTACCAGCATAATGTGGTGTTTGCCTTTTTGTTTTGTTTTGTTTTTTCATTAACACCCAGTAACTACAGGCGATTATGTCCCTTGCTCCCTGTCAGCAAGTGGCATGTACTCTCTGGCGGCCCATTCCTGGCTGATCTTGTGATTGGTGTCACCACCAAATCCCAATCACCTAGGGCCAAGAAGACCTCATATTTCTGACTGTGGGACTTAATGGAGAAGCAATTAGAGTGAAATAAGAAAATTGTTATTTGCTGATTAATGAACATTTTGAGCATGTTTTAAAAATTCAAATATTTTAAAAAACTGACTGGTATTTATAAGAGGGACTAGTGTTTGGGTGGTTATTATCCACGGGGTCCTAATTAAGGCTTGATTAAAATGCCCTTATTTCTCTAAAAAATTATGAACCAGGCAACTTAATACATTTTTTAATGCTGTAGCATTTCCTCTTCCTACTGTTCAGTTTGTAGTATACGATGTAAGCAACATCAATTATCAGCCTTTGCAAGATTACAACATGAACTCGTGGGTGAAGCACTTAAGGGAGGGGGGGGTGTTTCCTTATTCTCTTTTTTTTTTTTTATAATCAGCCGAAACAGTGTTTGACAAGAATCTGATGAGGTCACTGGAGTAAATATTTTCCCTCTTACAGAGCCAATCATCACCGAGGGATCCCCTGAATTTAAAGTCCTGGAGGATGCATGGACTGTGGTCTCCATAGACAATCAAAGGTGTGTGCTTTCTGCCCCGTTGCTTTTAAATTGTTCGGGAAGGAAAGAGGTCTGAAGGCGCTGGCGAGCTACTTTTGCTCGTGGTGGCCGCGCGGGCGCTTGGCGTGCGTCCTGACCGCTGCTCTGTGTTTCAGGTCCGCCCAGTTCGAGCACACAGTTCTCATCACGTCTGGAGGCGCGAAGATCCTGACCAAACTGCCCCACGAGGCCTGAGAGGCTGCCCGAAGGTCGCAGAGGCCCGGCTCCGTTTTTCTCAATTTTTGAAATACAGCTAGAGAACTTTTAGAAGAAACAGGAGCAGCAGGTCACGCAGCATCCCGCCTCACACCTAATATCATTTTGGAAAAAAGGCGGTGGGGACTAGGAGCATTTGGAACTCAGACCCGAAAACGTGCCTGGGGCCCTGCGGCTTTGAAAGACCGGTCGGGGTCCCGGACTCAGCTTCTCCAAGCGGGAAACGCATCTGGAGAGGAACGCGGACGCAGTCGTTTGGGAGAGGAGAGATTCTGGAAGCAGTTTTCCCTTTTTCTTGTCCAGAATTTGCTCCAATGAAAAACCTCTTAAACTCATTGTGTCTAAGTTCCTTGTGTCTGACAGTTATCACGGGGAGAGAGGGTAGATGGTTGATTTTTGAGTCTCTGAACTTTTTTGCACGCGCGGAAAGAAAAACCCGAACCTAAGTGTTAGATGGCATTTTTTAAATCCGTTTTTCCCCTTGCGAATTTCACGTTGGCCGTCCCTGAGGACGCTCCAGAGGCCAACACCTGCTCCCAACCAAGCCCCTTAGGTTCATTTCCCTTTCACGCCGCTTTCCATGAAAAGATTTGCCCTCGAACCGAAGCATTGGTTGCAAACATTTTCTTGGCTGTGGACCCTGGGCCTGGCCCTTCTTCAGGGCTTTATCACTCCAGAAACAAGACTTTCCTGTTCTGCTGCGGCTGTTCCTTCCCCCCTCATCCAGTCTTCCGTGGCTTTCCCAGAGGTTGGGTTCAGACCCTCTCACTCCCCACGCATGCACACACAAGCACACTAGACCGTTTGTTGCACTAGAAATTCGCGCTGCGGGCCCACTCTCCCAGATGTAAACAGTATCTGGCTGGTGAGGGGTCCCGCTAGTCCCTAACAGATGTCTCCCATATTGACCCTGATGGGACCCGCGCTTGAGCGTGGCAAGGGCCACAAAGGTCAAGTATTCCCAAGGTGCACAGAATCCCAGCGATAGGAGATATGGGCACTTTGGAGACAAGGGCTTAGTTGGCCTGGACTGGAGCTGGCAGCTTTAGCTATTTCTTTCTGCCAGCAACTCCAACCTGTTTCAGGAGCAGGAACCCACCTGTCCACGCTGTTTCCCAAGGGCCATTCCTGCCGGGAGCAATTTCCCTTCCCTTCCTCTTGCTTTCTAAGGTCTGTTCACACTCGGCTCAAGGGAGGGGAGGGACTGGGCCTCTAGTAGTCCACAAAGGAAACTGGTCCCCTGTCTATGGTTTTAGGAACCAGTCCAGTGAGGATGTCACCATGGCCAGTGATTGTGCTAACTTGTCTCTTCTAAAGTGGCCCTTTGAAAGTTGCCATTGGCTAAATGTAGGTTGTGGTCACCTGTAGTTGCCCCCCACACATAGAGGTGGCTATACTGGGGACTAACTTGTCTTGATGGCACCCAGTATGGTAGGACAGGAGACAGGAAACTGAGGACAATACGTCGTTCTAAAAGTGATGAGTCTCAGCTCTTCCTGACTTGCTGCATGGCTCCCCAACCCTCTGACTCCATTTCTCCAGGTATGTAGAGTTTTGGATAGAAGTGATTTTGATTCTAGTGGGTCTGAAAGTTGGAGGGGTTGAGGATTTACAAGATCCATAGATAAACTTTTGAGATGCTCTGGAGTTGGCCAGGCAGAAAGAAGACCAATCAGGGCAGTTTCCCCCATAACAATTTGGATTTTGAAGAGAGGAACAGGGCCTAGCTGACCTTGGGAGAGGGTTGCCAGAGAATGACTTCACTTCTCTCCTAGAGCAATCGGATTGCAGCCATTAACACAGTACCTTTATCTGCAGATCAGTTTACTCTGAGGTTCCCTAAGGATAGTTTTATTAGGACCACAGGATTTTACCAACCCCTGGGGTAACACGCTGCTCCTGTAGCAATTATTTTGAGGTGAAGGTATTTATGGGACAGGTATATAATCCTATTTATTAAAATGACTAACTTAAAGGTATGTGTGTGTGTATCCATCTGCCACTACTCAGCAGCTCTGTAGGAAACAAACTTGAATTAGAATGAATTCCATTTCACATGCTTTGAAGTTGAGATTAGGAAGTTTAGGAAGTACATTTTAAAAGTATCTTTGTCTATGCCTCCTCTCCCCTCTGCCAGCTGAACTGGCCTCTAGTCTTAACCTAGAGCCAAGTGTGATTAGATTCATACCATTAGGACTGGTCCTGAGTTGACTCCAATAGGTTCTACTCAGAATCCCAAACCTTCAGTATCAATAGAAGAATTTTGTTTCTTCTCAGAGCTTGGACAAAGGTCTAAGCAAACTGGCATTTTAGAACAGGTGTAGCCTTAGAGGTGGGGCGGTGGGAGGGATCCACTCAGAGCTCAGAGAGTAGAGAAAACATTGCACATTGAGGAGCTAACTAAGGCCCAGCTGGCTGCACTGTAGAGGGGAGTAACTCAGCCTCTCTCCCCAAACCTGCTTCTCTGGGGTGGGAATTCTGGAGTATAGATAGACATTCCCTTGCCTATATACAATTCAATTCTAAATTAAGCTAGGCTCTGAAATCTTATCCCGAGGGAGTGCATGCCAAACCTTTATTTCAGGGGCCAGCCTGGTCCCCTGCACCGGGAACTCAACCATCCCCCTCATAGACATGGAAAGATCCAGCACCAAGGAAGACTGGCAACGTGCGGCCCTCTCCTCCCCTTTTCCTTCAATTCCCTGAGATAAACTAGGCCTAGGCGGCCGAATCTTCGGGGTTTCTTCATGCCTTTCTCTGAACTCAAGGAGACAACATTCTGATTTTCCCCGGTCCCAACCTCGACCCCGCGCCAGCCGTGGAGATCACTTACGTGGGCAGGGCCTGCAAGGCCAGCGCGAGAGAGACCCGGGGCTTGGGCTGCATCCGAGCGGCTGTGCTGGGCGCACAGCGTGGCACTCCAACACCCCAAAAAAGGCTTTAGGAAGGAGCAATTAAAACCACAAGTGCGACAGGGAAATCAAGACAGCCAAGAGGCTCCAGGAGTTGTCTAGTGGCAGAGTCATTAGCTGGTTGTTGCTACAAAGCCTCACAGTGTGGTTTGGTGATTAAGAGGGGAAAAAAAATCTTTTAAGCGTTGGCAAACCCGTTATTGGTTTGGAGGAGGATTGGTTGTTGGTTTTTTTTTTTTTTTTGCTTTTGTTTTTCTTTTTTGCTCCAACCAAGCTGCCTGAAATATTTCTGCCCCCAGCACTGTGCCCTTAATTCAATGGAGAGGAATTCCGCGGGCTGGAGCTGCTGCTACAGAAGTTAAAGAGAGAAACCCCCTCTCTACTAATATCTGTAACAACAGCACCGATGTAATTTGTTTTGAACGTTCATTTTTATTGGTGTTCCCTCTGCCAAAATGTGCTTGATTACAGAGGTTTGTCCTGTGATCATTGCACACTCCAGACAGGGGAAGGTGCGGTAGCGAAGGTTCAGCTCAGGCCAGATCAAATCCCCGGCTGTTTAACGCTAAAAGGCTGCATGTTGCTATTAGTGTTAAATATATGGCTAATTATGCGTATGAAAATTAAACATCAGTGTTATGCTAATGGGGAGCCTTCAGCTGCGGATCTGAGCACTTGAGACTACCATTTAATCAAATGAATCAGTAACTAATACATCTGCACGTGTGAACTTTCACAAGATCATTTCCCCGTTCCCGTCACACCGTTAAATTATGAAAGAAATAATTATCAACACTTTCTAATTACCTAACAAAGTAATTTGGGATTCACCGTAGGGCTGGCGAGATGGGGGACCAACAGTCCCTAGCAGCCAACATAGTGTGCGCCACGCCGCGTGGGGTGGCTGTGTGGTAGTAGTGGGGGCACGGGGGCCTTTTGTGCGCTTTTCTGTATCTAACATCCCAGAAGACCGAGGCACCGGTGGCAACTGTTGCCTCAACCAGCCCTGCTCCGAGGCCCACTGATGTCCGTTTTGGCCACTGGAGTTAAAATAATGGGCGACAAAGAGAGATATGACTGCACCGATATTCAAGCCTTCCACAGGCCTGGTTCTGCTGCGGGTTTCGATGTCCTCCAAGGACTCCTAACCCCCGGGTGTTCTCGCCAGACCCCGGGAAGTCAAAAAATGACCACCTGGCGCCTGCGGCTCGGGCAGAACTGAGCAGATCGGGCCCCTCGGCTCCACGCAGCGCCGCGCCCTCTGGGAGAGTGAGCCCCGGGGCGCACCGTTCAGAGGGAGTGGAGAGGGGAGGGGGAGGCGCTGGAAGGTTGGGAGGGAAAGAGGGTGTGTGTGTTGGGGGGAAGGAGGCGGTGCGGCCGCTTTTCCTGGGAGGAGAAGCGCGGGTTCCTGGCTCTCCACGCGCACTGCTTTTATCAGACCGGTGCAGCCTGGAGCTGGAGTGACCAGCTGGGCCTGGAGCGATGCGAGCTGGCCCCTGGGAGCAGCGGCGGCAGCGGCGGCGAGGCAGCCGAGTGAGTTGGTCTGGAGGGCCCTCAAACCCCGACCCCAGGGATGTGGCAAAGCGGACCTGGGCCAGGGAGGCGCGGCCGGGAGGGCTCTGAACTAGGCACAGGACGATCAAGAAGATTGCAGTTCTGTTGGCTGCCTTGGTCGCCCCTCAGTGCGCGACTCTGCGATCCATAGGCTGCGACCAAACCCTAGAGCCGCCCTAAGCTCAGCACCCGACTGGGTAGCAGTGACGAGAAGCGGTCCTGAGTTCTCCGTGTTGGGGGCGGACGAAGAGTGGGGACAGTAGGGAAGCGGGCGACAGCGGGGAGCAGCTGGTTGGTTTCTGGGAAGAGAGCACGCAAGGGAGGTGGGAGGCTGAAGAGCTGCGGGCCTCCGAGGTCCCAGAGCGGACGCTGCAGCCTATTGTGCGACCCGCAACGCGCGCTCTGTTGCAGAGGAGCCCGGGCCGGGAAGTGTGGAACAGTCGCTCCAGAGGCCGGGCCGCCTTGCCGGCTCTAGTCCAGCGGAGCCCGAGCGACTCGGACCAATCCCCGGTGATTATGCAAGACAGCGGACCAATCAGCTCTGCCAGCTCATGAATATTTATGACCTTGGCTGAGTCAAAGCTTTGAACCGAGTTTGGGGAGCTCGGGAGCATCATGCTTAGACTTTTCAAAGAGACAAACTCCATTTTCTTATGAATGGAAAGTGAAAACCCTTGTTCCGCTTAAATTGGGTTCCTTCCTGTCCTGAGAAACATAGAGACCCCTAAAGGGAAGCAGAAGAGAGAGAGACCCACACCCAGACCCCGCGAGAAGAGATGACCATGACCACCATGCCAGAAAGTCTCAACAGCCCCGTGTCGGGCAAGGCGGTGTTTATGGAGTTTGGGCCGCCCAACCAGCAAATGTCT